GCGTGGCAGGATCCCGCCGCCGCACGTCGTCACAGAAACTGGCAAAGGTGGACTTGATGGCTCCGTCCGAGGTGTTGGTTATAATTGCTGCGCTCTGTCAATTTAGTAGCAGCCACAAAGCTATCAGAGGCCTTTTTGGGTAAATAAATATTTCTGCGCTAGCGCACGTGGCCTCATAAAGCCCTCACCGTAAAGGCAGCTCAGTGTAGTTCAGGTCTGTAACTGCTCCCCGTTGCTGGGAGGAGGAAGAGGAAGGATAATGGCAGAGGAGCGGAGGGCAGAGAGGGAGAGGAAGGGATGCAGGGGCAGGGGCGGGTGGAGCGAGGGACCAAAGAGTACGATAAGGGTCTACGGAGGTGGTGCAGGCATCTGTCTTGATGGAGGTATGGAGAGTGTGAGGACACGAGGGTCTCCAGTTCTTGGCCACGGCACAACTGCTCTTGGTTTTCTCTTCCTTTCGCCATCGCTCCCAAATTTCCTACGACAAGGATCTCCAGGGATGAAGATCTACATCGACCCCTTCACTTACGAAGACCCCAATGAGGCGGTCCGAGAGTTCGCCAAGGAGATCGATGTATCCTTTGTGAAGATCGAAGAGGTCATTGGAGCAGGTGGGTTTCACCATGTGGGTTTCGCCATGCCCTCCCACCCGTCCCTCCTTGCCCTCTACACACCCAACCGGAGCAATTTTCTGGGGGTGCACACGTGGTCCTTCACCAGGAAACCCCCAAGGAAGCCTCGAGGCATCAGGCTTTCCTGGGTTTGTGATGGGTTATGGTGGGCACAAGGTTGGTTTCTGCTCTCAAAGTTCCTCTGAGGTGGGAAGGGCTCCATGAACGTGTACACTGGGTGACCACGGGGCCTCCTGGGATTTCCTAGTTGGCTTTTCCATGAGATAACGAGAAAAAGCCGGATCTCACTCTCACCTGTGCCATATTCCCATACGTATGTATATATACGCACGCGTGCGCGTATCCGTGTGTCATCTGTGCTGCTTTCGTTGCCGTTTTAAAATAATTGTGTCGTCCTCGAAGAAGAGAAAGTGAGAAGCCGGGGAGGGAAGCTGCAAGGAAGCGATGAGCTAGTTCGGTGGGAATCAAGTTCCACGATGTATCAGCCCCTCTTCTCTGCTCATCAAGGCAAAGTGGCTGCAAACCTGGCTTAAATGTAATCCCTCCCCGGGCAAATTTTGCCTCGGAGGAGGAAAAGCTGAAATGAGAGGATGCTTCCTCTGTGTTTTAAATCAGAGGGCAGCGATGAAAACAGCAGCCCAATTATTTTCTGTTCCGAGATAAGCGATTTGCAAAAAGGCCCCTGAGATTACCGACGCCGACACCTCGTATTTGAGGTGCTCCTTCAATGGTGATGCTCCTGCTCTGCAAATCCTTCTTGCGGGGGTTCATGAGAGCAGCCCCAGCCTCCACCTCCATCAGTGCTGGGCTCTCTGTCACCTTGGAGAAGGTTGCCAGCCCAAACACGTCCTCGGCAGCGGACGTTGCCCCTTGACAGGCGAGTAGTTTTATAGAGGAGAACATCACTGGAGTGTTAACTGGCTGATGTTTCTCAGCCCGTTGATTTGGAGACCGAGCAGCTCAAGGTGCTCTTTGTAATGCTCTGTGTGGAGGAGGAGGTGGTAGCAGATGCTCTCGCACTTGCAGGGGAGTTTGGAGAAGTGTATAAAGGACGCCTGAAGTTACCCAGCAAGCGGGAGATCTACGTGGCCATCAAAACGCTCAAAGCCGGCTACTCCGAGAAGCAGCGGCGGGATTTCCTGAGCGAGGCCAGCATCATGGGGCAGTTCGACCACCCCAACATCATTCGGCTGGAAGGGGTGGTGACCAAAAGCCGGCCGGTCATGATCATCACGGAGTTCATGGAGAACGGGGCCTTGGACTCGTTCCTGCGGGTAAGGCGAGGTAGAGCCATGCGGGCTGTGGGATTTGGGGATGAGGTGTTGGCTGGTTGAGCGTGCCGTACACCCCCAAAACACACGTCTCAGCTTTAATCAGGCAGGGCAGGGCAGCTGGGGAGTCCTCTGGGGAGGTGCGGTGTCCTCCTAAGGTTGGGGGTGAGCGGCTCTGGTCCCGTGGTGGGGTCTGCACGCTCACCTTGGTGCCTGCTCTGTCTGGTCGCAGCAAAACGATGGGCAGTTCACAGTGATCCAGCTGGTGGGCATGCTCAGAGGGATCGCCGCAGGCATGAAGTACCTTGCAGAGATGAATTACGTGCACCGCGATCTGGCTGCCAGGAACATCCTGGTCAACAGCAACCTGGTGTGCAAAGTGTCGGACTTCGGCCTCTCGCGCTACTTGCAGGATGATACATCCGACCCCACCTACACCAGCTCCTTGGTACGTACCCCTTGCAAGGCTCGGTCTTGCTCAGCATCCTCCGTGCCTGCCCTGCACCCGCTGCCATCCGGAGCTGGGAGAAGGGCACTGGGCATAAGCCCCGGACCTTCTGCCATGGGCGGCAGCATCTCAGGAGGGTTCCCACCATGTAGGCTCATGACCTGGAAGCTCTGGCTACAGTTCCCGTCCTCTTCTCTGTCCTTTCTCTTCCTCCCTTTGATGAGTTTTCTGCCACCCTCCTCCCCCAAGCACCTTTCTGCACTCAGCAGTTTCCAGATAAGCCTCTTCCCTCTTTTCCGTGGTTGGAAGATGCATGAAGGAGACCCTGGGGAGCCTGGCAAGGGGAAGCAGGTAGATCACCGCATCTGCTGACCGCACAGCGACGACATTTTAACTCCCCTTCTCCCAGTGCTCCAGGTCTGCTCTGCCTTTCTCTGCTGGAAACTTGTTCCAGGCATTAATTAAAGAGAGGAGCCTAACGGGAGCTCTGCCATTCCCCAGCCACCCTTCTGGCCCTTGAATAGCTCATGTGTAGTAACGGCAGCTCCACTCTGCCTTTATGGCTCCGGAGACCCCCCAGCTCCCCACCTCGTGAGACCCTTTGTGGTGTTAAAGATGAACAGAGGAGAAGGGGATGAGCAACACGCTGATCTCATCGAATCCTGGAATGGTTTGGGTTGGAAGGGACCTTCAAGATCATCTAGTTCCAACCCCCCTGCCATGGGCAGGGACACCTTCCACTAGATCAGGTTGCTCAAAGCCTCATCCAGCCTGGCCTTGAACACTTCCAGGGATGGGGCATCCACATCTTATCAATAAATTAAAAGAGTGTCCGTTGGGTGCCAGCACAAGGCTGCACCTCCTGCAGTTTCCTGGGCTGCCGAGCTGTGCCCAAGGTGCCAGGGCTGGCTCCAGCCTCCAAAATGGGAAACCCATGGACATGCCTTTAAAGCTGACTTGGCGTTTTGCCCCAGCTGCAGCCCCTCGCTCTTCCTCCCCTGCTCCTGGGATGTTTCCTCACCCCATCCCTGGACCTTCCTGCTCCCTGCCCACCCCCAGCCTGCCGCAGTGGCCTTGGAGCAGACGCTCGTCATGTAATTTTGTGTTCCAAGACCCCGGCAGTATCTGCTGGGACAAGGCACGGAGTAGCCTTTCCCTCACCTTTTGAGATAAAAGAGATTATCTCATCTGTGTTTTTATTTAATTTAGGCCCTAGTAGAGCTCCCCGGCAGCTGGGAAGCGATGCTGCGCCTGCGATTGCATCACTGCCTCCCACAGCAGGTTTTTAGCTCCGGGGAAAAGGCAGGAAAAACAACCTAGCAGTTAATTTCTCCATTTGTAGTTATTCAGATCAAAGTTTTTTTGCTGTTCATCCTTCGGGAGCAGCTGATGCTTCAACAGAAAGGCTCCAGAAAACGATTGTGCTGGACCGTTTACGATGCCGTTCCGCCCCGTGTAAACACTGCCCGTGCCTCTGGTTTTCCTTCACCCCTTGGCTTTTTTTCGGGGGTTATCTTGGTGATCCTTGCCCAGGGAACGGTCCCTCTGTACCTCCTGCCCTTCCACGGCATCCCTGCCCCCCCAGCACAGCCTCCAGCCCTTCCAGTCCTGCCCGGAGCTGGGCCCTGCCCTGCTTTGATGGGGTGGCTGGAGATGCCTGATTTTAAACTTCCAGGAGGAACGAGGGGCTCTGCCAAAGGCACTTTCCTATTCCAGTGCTCTCCAAGCCGCCTTTGGGGCTCAAAGGTGTTTTGCTTTTTGCTTCCCACCCCAAAAGTGGGGCTGGAAGGACCCTCCAGCAGCTGTAGGAGCTCAGGTGATGCCGTAGAGGATGCTCTTAGGTTAGACCTTGTAGGCTGAGGGATGGGGGTACCTGCGGCTCATTCTGGTCCTGCGTAGCCCTTCTTCCTACCTGGGCCCTCCTTGAGAAGTTTCCTGTGGACGGGGCACCAGTGGGCTGGGTCCCGCAGGGCGGCTGGAGTAGGGAGGTGACCCCGGGTGGGATAAACCCTTGGATAAACCTCGTTGTTTTGTTTAGTTGAGCCCTTCTGTGCAGGTACAAGATAAATTCACGGAGGTGTTTTTTATCTCCTGCGTCCTCATCCCATTGGGTATCACCCGTCAGCTCCTCAGCGGGGTGCCCAGGTGCCGGTGGCCGTGGGTGTGCGGTGTGTCTCCGACCCCGGCTCGTGGGTGGCCGGGCTTTTCTGCCAAGGTTGCCATTTCTCTCCCTTTTTTCCGTAGGGGGGGAAGATCCCCGTGAGGTGGACGGCGCCGGAGGCCATCGCTTACCGCAAGTTCACCTCGGCCAGTGACGTCGGGAGCTACGGCATCGTCATGTGGGAGGTGATGTCGTTCGGGGAGAGGCCTTACTGGGACATGTCCAACCAAGATGTAAGCACCGAGGGGTCGTCCCGGCAGCGCCGGGGAGGGGGGTGTGTAGGGGTGAGCTCATTCCCAAAAGAAAGCCCTGCCTGAAGGGCTATCTGCTCCTTCTCGGAGCCTCGGCACCGCTCGGTTTTGGAGATGAAACGGGCTGGTGAGCGAGAGAGAAGAGAGGACGCGAGGAGAGGAATTGGGAAGAAAAGCCAGTGGGCTGGTAATTGGACTTCAGGAAGCTGCAGGGCCTTTGAAAATGTTCAGAGGGCTTACAAGCAGGGAAGGAGCTTTGGTAGTTGAACTGCCGTACTCCGACGCGATCCGCCGAGATAATGAGTGGCAGG